TAAGCTTGGTTTAATCAGTAAGCACACCACACTGGTGGAATGTACCGTCCAAGTGCCCAACCGATTTGAATGCACTTGAGATGTTGCAATTAACTTTCCTGTCTGTAAAGGCAGAGGTCACGACTTCAATGCCCATTGGCTCTCCCCACAGTCCTGGGTCATAAATGTAAAATGGGGGGGGGGAGGGAATTGAAGTGGGTTATGAAGGGAAAAGTACCCTTAAACTAAAAATAACTGAAATTAGCACTTTTTACATAAAAATTACAAAACAAGGAACAATTTCTGCCAATTTAAATGGCAACTTAACGTATGAGTTTGACAAATAGACGTTTGAGTTCAGTTTGGGTCCAGATGTGGTGGAGGAAGCAATTCTGTTAGTCTCCCTCTTAGGAGACAAATGGCACAACATTATTTATGAGCAACAAATCGCAATTTTTTTCTGTTAAGGGTATGGACGTCCAACCCCAAAGTGGACAGAAGACGCCTCAGTTAAGGTCAGAGTTTGAATACCTGTAGGACCGCTGCTATTAAAGTCATAAAGGAAATTTACGGTCAAGTGTTCATAGACCGTCAAGTGTACAAGAATTGCTTTGCAAAATTAAACTTGACCAAAAGACATCTAAATGGTACACTTTAGCTTCAAATTCTTGGGCGTGCGATAGACTTACCTGGGCAACTTTTACTCATATGGCAAAAAAAGTCAATAAACCGACAGTTGACTTCTGACTTCAAATTATCATCACCCCACTGTATGTCATATTCCACTACTTCCACAGTGCCCACCTTACCTTACTTTTTCTCTGCCTTTGTATCTGCCTGTCTCTTTTACATCTGTGAATCACTCTTCTGTTCCTCCTCTCGACTATCTGTGACTTTGATGTTCCTCCCCTCTGTGAAGCCCAAATTCAACTAAAGGGTTAGAATGATGACCATCTCAAGGCCTGTTATTTGTTATAACTAGATTTCCCCAAATAATTATTAGAAATTTCGATTAAATTTAGCAAGTTATTCGAAAATAAATTGACTTGGCTTTCATTCAAGCACCTCTCCAATGGTTTTAAATGGTGAAACATCTTAAAACTCAGTTTAAAATAATTGGCATAAATGCGCAATTTTAACCGTTTTGGTGTTTTCTTAAAAAAAAACAAGTCCTACTTCTTCAAACAGAATTCAACTCGATGGAAAGCGCTTGAACTTGAAATACACATTTCAAAAGTCAGAAATTGTAAATTAGTACAATAATATAATAAATTAGAATTAAAATTAAATCTGCAATAGACAGACAAGGGAGAAACTGAATTCACACCTATACTTTCCAATCACAAAGTAGAATTTTTCTGTCTCAACAACTCACAATTGATTTCACATCATCACGGCTTCTAGCACGCAAGAGCATTTAATTTATGGAGTTTGAAGAACTCTTCCTCCATCTATGCCAAAAAGAAATGTAGCGCTTATTGCTTACTTAAAATTGAAGCTCGCGTTTGGGAAGCCATCATTTTAAGCGATTTAAAAAAACCAAAAATACACGAGTCCTTTTACTAGCATGCCTTCTTTTCAAAATGATATATATATATATATATATATATCAGCTAGAAGAAGTGGTGGTTTGTGGAATTTGGGAGTAACATAAGGCAACATTACACGACTTTTACACACAACACACACAGAGAGACTGCACGCAAATGTCGAAAACAGCTCCATAAATCAGCTGGGTTGGTGATGCAAAATAACATGTTATATGGAATGTAAACAAAAACTAGAGTTATTTACTGCATTTTTTCACGTACTATTGGATATGCTAGCATACGTGAGACCGAGGTCTATTAACACTAATAAAAAAATCTGATTAATCGTGAATTACGAGGTGAAAACCAGTTTACGATTTGAGAGGAGTACTGATTCCAAAATTTTTCAATTCCCCTTCCAATTTGTTGATCATGCCTCGGCTGAGCGGACCACTTTGTGAGTCACGTGGTGGTTGCAAATTACTAAGTGGCTATTGATTTTTTGGGGTAACGGTATGTGAATAGATTGAACACCTACTCACGCACACACGTGTACACATGCCCACACACACGCACATTAAAAGCAAGAATTTGAGTATGAATTAACTATGGAACCCAATTGTCTGTTAACTTGTAAAGAAACCTTAATAAAAAATGTAAATTATAACTATGTATCGGTTGGGGGGAGGGGGGGGGGTGTTCGATAGACTTATATCCACGTGGGGGTGAACAGAGGAGTGTTCCAAAGATGTAAAAGGGACAGTCACAAAGTAGAAAAAAGGTGAGGTGAATACTGTGGAGTCGTTGTTTGAAGTCAGAAGTCGACTGCCAGTTAATAGACTTATATCCACGTGGCGCACCCTGGGCAACGTATGCTCATACGGTCAAAAAGTCTATTAACTGGCAGTCGACTTCTGACTTCAAACAACGACTCCACAGTATTCACCTCACCTTTTTTCTACTTTGTGACTGTCCCTTTTACATCTTTGGAACACTCCTCTGTTCACCCCCTCCCCTCTCGACTTTTTTCACTTTGATGTTACTTCCCCTCTGTGAAGCCTGAAGTCAACTAAAGGGTTAATGATAACAATCAAAACGCCTGTCATAAGATATAATAATAACGACAATAATGGATCGATTGGTACAAAATTAATTTCACTGAAGAAGTTGGTATGAATTTTATTAATTGTAAGTGGCTCTTAAGTGAACTTCGAAAATCCATGACAATGTGCGTTTGTGGCAATGTAAGCTCCAACGTCAAGAGTAACTATGTCCTGCATAGTTGGTTATTGTCATGACAAAATTAAAGGAATTCATATGTTCACACAATGTTTAAAATTGGATGTTTTTGTGACATTGTCAAAAGCAGTAACCAAGGCCTCTAACTGAAATGTTATAAGTGAGCGTGCATACTAACTAATAGTTTGATAAGTTAAGTTAAATATCGCAGAAATTTCTATATATATATATATATATATATATATATATATTTCCAGGGATGATCTCGATTTGAACCGTGGACAAGGTTTAATCTTGATTTATGAATGCTTACGTTATTCTGAGCATTACTCAGCCTAGCGGGTATTGAAAAATGGTTTCGATGTGTTTCCCTAAATTCCATTTGAAGGACATGAGATTAACCAGCGTTCTTCTTTAGTCACATCAAAGTGGATTCGTGTCTTCTATCGCAGAGAAAGTGATATTGAGCGCTTGAGCGGGGGGCCACGTGATATCCCGTGGTCATTGGGTGGGGCAACTATGTAACCCCAACTGCACTGTGTTGGCACATGCAGAGTCTGGTAGAATGCTGTTTCCACTCGAACATGGGGTGCTTATTGTTGGAACGTACTAGGAATGCAAATAATTTGCGACGGTAAATGAAAGCCAAGCACAGTTGCTGTCCAGAAGATGATTTTCTAAATTTGTTGCCAACGCCCAAAGTAACTCTGTGTCCAAACAGTTTGTTCACCTGAAAGTAGCCGGCGTGCGTTAAAGGCTTTGCTAGGAAGTTCACGCAAATCAACCAGACGTTAATCCTCCCAACGCAATACCAAACTAAGGTCATGCCAGAACACATAGAAACAGTTGCATATACGAGGGCAGTGGAAACACTGCAACCTACGCAAAATGACAGCATTATTATTGCCAATGCTTACTCACTCGTGTTGTTGATTGTTATCAGGACCCGAATTCTTCTTTTATTACAGACGAAGAATATTTGCTCCTTCGTGGATGCGCGAACTTTCAAAGCTCATCCTATTGGCCAACAGACAGTCCCAGGCAACATGTAGTAAAAATGGGCGTTTGGTGTGATGTTTTAGCCTGTGAGAGTTTGTAGGCACCATTTTGTTTTGCAACCAATCATCGCGTAGTTGACGGAGGAATATCAAGGTGGTGCTTGGAGAAGAGTGCACAGTCTCTGAAGGTTTATAGTCTCAAAGTTTAGTGAGTAACAAGTCATTAATGGAATTCTATTGGTGATTGATATTGTCGAGATGAGGATCAATCTTTGAATTCCATGAAATGGAAAAGCTTTCGTGCTCTGTCTCTAGTCTAGAACACGTAAAAAATAATCTTGTGTGACAACTTGAATCTTTATACTTCGAATTGAGATTTATGATTTGACAATCCTGAGATTGCGTTTATTCACTTTATTATTTATAACTGGCAATTTTAAACGGCAAAAAGAATTAGGTGCCAAAATTTTGTGCCAGTCTTTTTTTTTGTTGGATAGGGGCTGAAACTGGTTTTCTATTGATGAAAATTCATCTTATTGATACTGTATAAGCCCTGGGGGGGGGGGTGCTATAGACCCATATCCACGTGGTGCACCCTAGTCAACGTATACCCATATGACAAAAAAGTCTATAAACCGCAATTGACTTCTGACTTCAGACTACCATCACCCCATTGTAAGTCATAGTCCACCCTTTTCACAGCACTCATTTAACCTTTTCCCTGCCTTTGCGTCTGTCTGTCTATCCCTCCGTCTCTTTTACATACGTCAATCACTCTTCTGTTTCTCTTCCCTATGAAGCCCGAAGTCAACTGAAGGGCTAATGATAACTACCATGAAGCCTGTCATTTGCCATAAATAAATACTATATAAGTCTTTCTTTACTCTTTAAATAACCGCACTATAAAGTAAGCGTGTGTTCCGCAATTTGTTAACCAATAATTTTGGTTAACAATGACAATCTGTTTTTTCAACGTAAAAGGGGAAGCAAAGGCTTTAGGGCATTTCCCATTTTCCAAAAAGGTCATAATGCGAATGCGCATGAAAATGACTTCCCTTAACGTGTCTAAGTGAGATAGGCTGGGAATTGCCCGTCAGTAGTAGCCAATGAAAATTGAGCATGCGTGAACACGCATGTGGTGAAAGTCAAATAAATATTTTCATAGATAACAAAGGGTTAAGAGAAAGGATCTACTAAACTTCTCTTTTTCCTTTTGGAACAAAAATGCGAGTAAAATGAAATCGAATTGCGAAAAATGGACATAAAAAGGGAGGAGTATAACGCAAAGACGTCTACAATTCCCGCCATAATGACAAGGGATTCCGGTTCGGCGGAGTCACCGCTGCCCGGAGAGAGACCATGCATGCAACTCCTAACTCTTCCAACTGCTGCTTTGAGTCGATCTCGCGGATGTTCGATCGCTTCCTATCGATCCGAAGACGCAATTAGTAATCTAAGTCTTGGTAGTCTTCTTCAACCAGAATTTGATGAGGAATTTCTCAGTAAGTTAAATTTTGAACATATCTTGAGATAAAAATTGATCATTTGAGACTAGTAAATAAATATATGCATTTATAAATAAAAATAAATGATAAAAATGAATTTCCTTTACTAAATTTTTTTATGAATCTCCCCTCCCCCAGTTTCTGTAACAATTTAAATTTATTTTAAGAAAATTAAAATGCAGTGGATTTGTATAAATATAAATAGTTTAGAATATTCTTTAAATAAGTTATAAAATATTTAGTTCTTATAAATACCAATAAAAATTTGTGTATATCAAAATACCTCTAGTTTATGCAAGTAGAGGAAAAAATCGATTTATCGTAAAAATTCCAAGCATTTAAGCTATTTAAAAAATAACTGAACTTACATTCTTTTTTTTAATTTCCAATACCAACTTCAAGGCTAAATTTTTAAACTGGCTAGTATTGAAATTATTTTACCAACTTTGAAAAGAACCACTTTCTCCAGGGCTTTTCACCAATTCAAGGTTCTATTTTAAATCCACTGGCCAATGTCTCATGACACATTCAAATCTACAATAAAGCTGTATTAACCTTTCAGAAGGTATTCAAAAATGCATAACGTCTTCTTTCCACAATATTTGCTTCTGAAGATATCATTCTTGAATAGGTTATACCTCCGTTTCGCTTAGAATAATTAAAACAAAGCACACGTCAGAATAGATGCATTTGAGGGGTCCGTTTTTAACAAAGCAGTACCCACAACGCTCTAAGTAGTTTTCGCTAATACAAATTCATCTTTGACTAGATTTCATACCTTAGCTAGTTTAATCTCAGAGTGAATTTCCTTTTTCTCATTAAACAGCGTATTTCATTCGGCCACACTATGGGCTCTCATATAAGTTTCACTTAAAAAGATGCCTTCGTTTTTTTCATACTCACTGAGCAAATCTATCTCTCCTGTTGCACATATCACAGAGAGGAGTTAAAACTTCGAAATTTATAAATAACTTTAAAAAATTCAACCGATAGTGTTTTTGTCTTAAACTTGTTTTTCTTTCATTACAATTCAACCTTTTCTCCTTTTTAAGGCATTCATATAAGTATAAGTTAAGTACCAAGCAAATTAAATACTGAATAGTTCGGAATTATAGCCTATTTGAGTGCCGAACAGACCTCCAAAAGCTTGCAATTAGTTAACAAGTTTGGACCCCAAACCACGCACTGCAGAACAACACTTTATTAGTGAGATAATTTCATGAAATTGAAAAAAATCGAAAAGCTATCTCCCATTTATATATTGATCACGGCATTGATTTTGAAGGTCCAAATTTCATGCCCCAATTATGATTGACAGATTTATTGATCATTCAATTAATTGGTCAATAGTTTAAAACTTGATTATTATCTCTAAGAAATGTCCAATACGACTTGAACCCCATTGAAAGATGGAAAGAGTTCTAACGGGTTTGCATTCTTTATTTTTACATTTTCGGCACGATAAAGTAAACCATTTTTACACCAGTAAATGAGAAATATTTCAAGAAAAATAATGATGAAATGTTTATTTATTTATTTATTTAAAATGCCAGGCCTTTTGATAGTTATCATTAGCTATTTAGCTAACTTCGAACTTCACAGAGGGGAGAAACATCATAGTGAGAAAAATTCGAGAGGGGGGATTGAAGAGTGATCCACTGATGTAAAGTGACAGTTAGACACAAATGCAGAGAAAAGGTAAGATGAGTACTGATGAAGTGGTCGAATTTGACATACAATGGGGTCATGGTAGTTTGAAGTCAGAAGTCAACTGCCGGTAAATAGACTTTTTTGCCGTATGAGTATACGTTGCCCAGGGTGCACCACGTGGAGGTAAGTCTACCACGCACCTCATGGTGAAATATTGAAACCACTGAATAAGAACGCAAGTTTCATCTATAATTCACAAGTTCAAATTAATGAAATTCTTTATCGTTTTGAAGCTTGCACTTCAAATGACTTTAGATATCCGAATCACGATTCTCATCTTCGTTTTTGTAAAATTCAACTGTTTCCTCACTAGGGGAGTCCGTTCCTGGGCCATTACACTACTGCAGTTCAAATTGAAGTGATCAAATAATCAGGAATTTAATTAAAGAGAGAATTTTTTGGCTTTTGAATGAAAATTTGTCTGTTCTGCAAGCATCATAAATTAGATACTTTACTGCAAGTAAGCACTGCCATAAAGATGATTTAAGATTCTACATAGACTGAAATGGGTTAATGTAAAGCTCAATAAATGATGAAATTTAATTGATGTCCATGACACTGATTTTGCAATAATTGCGAGCATTAATGTCATCGGAATTTATTTGTCTCTCAGGTGATGTTTGTTTTCAGGCAGATGCCATGATGAGCCTTTAAGTTTATAAAGTGGATTTGTTGGAGGGGGCTTCCATTTAGCAGAAATTCCTTCAAATTTCAAGATAATTGAGTTTTTGAACCGATGGAAAACTGGAGAATTGGAACAGTGATGACCAGTTTGGCTCCTGTCTAAGCTGAACATGCTTCCGGCCCTCCAAATATTTAATTATTTACTGATTGGTTCACTCTACCTAAACTTCATTTACAGTCTTTCGCGATAAAATGCCATAAATGTCATAGAAGCGGAATCGTATTACATTGAATTTGAATTCTATTTTAAACTTCCATTGGTTTCATGCGTTGCTATATCACCATGTTTACCTTGTGGGGAATTTTAAACCAACATTAATATTATTGGATTATTTTCAGCGTAGAAAATTGCTTAAATAAATAATTTTGTAAAAGCAAACTTGATGCATTATTATTATTAAGTGATAATTTATTATATATTTAAAGTTATGTCAGAAAAATCTTGAAAACTAAAAGTAATTTAATTTGCTGTTCAATTACATTTACAGTAATATTTAATTGCAACAATTTAAATGAAAATTAATTAACTAGACTGGCTTCTAAAAATTTCAATGCAAAATACATTTGCATTTTAATATGAAATACTGATATAAATAGGCTATATGCTATAAAAAGAGCACCTGTAAATCAAAATACAATAAGCTCTATTACAAAGAGTCTTGAAGCAGCTTTAAGTTTGGTTCCTCTTCAATAATCTGAAACCTCAAAAGTAAATCTTCTTTTTATTCTAACACCAGACGTACTTTAAGAAAATATAATTAACTCCTCAAATGCCATATTCGATATGAAAGTTTGAAGTCTAATCGCAAGATAAGCTCCCATTGGTAAAATCATTCAACAACTCTTCTCCTCTCAATTCAAATTTCGGGGTCAATTGAAATTTGAAAAAAATTTCTCGTCATCATGTGAGGTCACCAAATCTCACAAAACGCAAAATAACCCTGTCATTTTAAAAGATTTATGATTTCATAAACCTTCGCCTCTTGATTACAGCTTAGTTTTTTTCGACTGAAAAAATATTTATTTATATCAAATGGCAGACGTTTGGTTGGTTATCATTAGCCCTTTAGTTGACTTCTGGCTTCACAGAGGGGAAGGAACATCAAAGTGAAAAAAGTCGAGTGGGGAGGGGGGTAAACAGAAGAGTGTTTCAAAGACGAAGGTTGAAAATTTAGAAAAAAATGTGATGCAGTACTGTGGAAGTGGTCGAATATGACATACAGTGGGGTCAGAGGTCAACTGCCAGTTAATAGACTTTTTTTGCCGTATGAGTATACGTTGCTCAGGTTGCACCACGTGGAGGCGAGTCTATCGCACACCCCAAATTGAAAAAAATTAATCGTGCTTATTTCATCGAATTTCGCCAAATATAACTTGCGACCTTGGCGATTTGAAACGACGATACAGTAGTAAGCACAAATTTGTGGGATAACAATGCGGGTTTGAACCAATAATGTCTACCATTTATTATTCCACATTCGGTCTACGTTATCTTGGCCTTCATAATTAAGATAAATATTTCAAAATTTACAAACTCGGTTTCGTATGCTGTTGATATAAGTTTTCATAGCCTAATTAAGTGGTAAAATTTATATTTTCTTTCTTCATACGCTTGCAATTATTAATTACGTTGATTAAGATGTACTTTTAGTAAATTAAAAATTATTTCAATAATAACTAGGAAAGATTAATCATTCTAAAAATGTGGCCTAATTTTAAGTCCAGGAATGGCCTCCAATTGTTTTAATGAAGAGAACTAATGTTAATTATCGATTATTGCTAACAATCAGCTGATTTATTCTCTTTCTCGTCATTGCGACGAACTTCAGAAATAGGCGCTTAAGCTGTCTGTCTACAATCCTCCTCTCTCCCAACTCATGCTCAATACTGCATATTTCATCGCAGTTTTGTCTATTCCAGTTTTGCCGAACAATATGATTTGACATCTTGGAAGTATGTAATAATCCGATCTGTTTTCTTTTTTTGTATAATAGTTGCAACTTCAACAAGCATTCACTTTTTTACCCAAATCAGCTGCCTTCAACGATTTGGGCCTAAGTAATTCGAATTATTTTAAATCTATCTTTTCGGCAGTTAATTTCTTTGATACCACTCTAAATAAGACTATTAAATTCATGTTTAAGAGAGAAAAAGTATAACCACTTTATTGATGAACAATCATTGAACAATTTTTCTTTTAAAGAAATGAAATTTTAAATTATAATCAGTATTTATTTCTTTATTGGGATTGTTTTTATACAGGGATTTAATTTGACCAATGAAATTTTTGCATTGACTGATGTAAGAATATTGGAGATTTGGGAATTTCGGCAAAAAATATCAACGCAACTTAATGGCAGGTTTGACGCCACCTTCTAAGTAAAAGTGCCGTGGTTTTAAATAATTGGCTTAATGTGGTGTGCTATGTGAGGAGGAGCCCTATAGATGGGAACAAGACTGAATGAAATATTTATTTCAAATGGCGGGCTTTATGATACTTATCGTTAGCCCTTTAGCTGACTTCAAGCTCCACTGAGGGGAAGAGGAACATCAAAGTGAGAAAAATTCGAGAGGGGGAACAGAAGGGTGATTCACTGGTGTTAAAGAGGCAGACAGACACGAAGGTAGAGAAAAAGGTAAAATGAGT